CCGCCTGTGCCCGGCCCCCGCTCCCCGCTCCCCACTCCCCGATGTGGCCTCGGTGTGCAGCCTGCCTCCCCCGCCATCCGCATCCCGTCCTGCTTTTGCTCCAAGTACAGCTCGGCCCGGCCGCCCGCGCACAGCAGCAGAGGCAGACATCTGCTCCTCCCCCCGTGTGGGCTGGCTGCTCCCGGTGCGCAGCCCTGAGCAGCCTGAGAAGGGAGCCCCGTGCTCAGATCGGACCCCGCCCACTTTGAGGGCACCCTGCCCACCGGGCACTGCCAGGCTGTCCCCTCTGAGAGGAAGTGGGGGAGCAGCCAGGGAGGGGCCGTGCTGGTGATACAGGCCCAGCCCACTCAGGCTCCCTGGAGTAGAACACCGTGACCATTTTACAGATGAGGAAAGCGAGTCTGGAATGGGCCTGCTCCCCCCCTCCCCGCCGGCCACCCAGCAAGGAATGCCACCAGCATCCTGAGCCAGATGCCAAGGACCTTGCTGGCCCGGTTGGGTCAGGCTCCTGGCGCTGCCCACGTGGGCGGGGGTGGGGTCGGCACCCACATGCTCATGCCCCTTGGAGGATGGATCAGGGCCCGCAGAGCCTGGTCTGACCCAGAACCTGAGCTGCCCCCTGCCCGGCCCTGGCCACAGCCCCTGGCAGTGCCAAGTTGTGCGGTCCAGCCCCTCCTCCACCCTCAATCTGCTGCTTTGTTTTCTCTGCTCAGGCGGGCAGCCTAGGGCTGGGGCACAGGACCCGGCTGGGGGCAGGGGCTACCAGGTCCCACCCGGCACCCGAAGGCCTAGACCGCACACCGCAGAGCCCCCCTCGGCCAGTCCCTCTCCCCGGCACTGAGAGTCCTGCGGGACCAGGAGGCACGCGGCGCTGGGCGAGGTGCTGCAGAGCTGCTTGTGGTCGGGGAGAGGGACCCAGCAGCGCGTCCTTCCTGTGCCCTCGGAGGCTGTGGTGGAAGCTGTGGTCGGTCAAACGCTGTCCCTGTGGCCTCCCGGTCCGCCCTGCCCACCCCCCACCACGGTCTGCACACATCATCCCTCCAGTGTCCATGTCGGAACTGACTCAGCCACAGCCGAGCCGGCGGCCACCGCCACCCTTGGCCCCGTGCTGCTCCCCAGGCTGGCGGCCAGGCTCTGCCCCGAGGGTGTTGGAGGTGCCAGGCCCTCAGGAACTCGCTCCTGCCCTGCTCCTGTGCAGCTGGGGAGGCGAGGGCAGAGGTCGCTGCCAGCCCTGGGTGCAGGTGGAAGCGAAAGCCGGGCTTCCTGGCGAGGCGCCTCCACCCTTCCTGTCCTCCCACTGCCGGGCTTGGCCAGCCGCGGGGGGGAGGGGGGGCGCTCCCAGCCCATTCCCAGGAGACAGTGCCGGCCTCCGACTGCGCTGGGAGGACCCCCTGCATGGGGCAGGCCCGTGGTGGCGCTGCCCACCCCTCCCGTAGGTGTTTCCTGTTTGCCCAAGTCCTTTGCCCACCTCTCTGTGCCTTCCACCTGCTCTATCCCTAACCCAGGAGGGTGGGGTGCGTGGAGGACGTGGCCGGGCCAGGCCTGGGCACAGCGTGTCTGCCTGCTCCCACATCCTGGGGACACAGTGGGCCAAGCCCTGGCCTGGCTCCCTGACCCGCCCCACCCCCCAGCTCTCGCCCCGCCAGCCCCTACCCCGGCCCGTCTCCCTGTCTGTGCCGTGGAGACCCAGCTCCGGGCTCTTCCCTTGCTCGCTGAGCTGGGGCAGCCACGCGGGAGATGTGTGGGTCCTCTTCGCTCTGTCTTCTCTCTCGTTCTAATTTTGAGAGCGGCCATATTCACCCGATGCAACCTCGGTCAGTATTCGTGTGTGTGTGTGTGTGTGTGACGTCCTAGTCCCCGCAGTGTGCTGCCCAGCTCGTGCCCTGCTCCTCGTCTCCGTGGTAACAGCACTGCGCCCACGACCCCCCACCTGGGATGAGCCTCTCGGGTGACCCACGGGGCAGTGAGGGCTTGCCAGGGCTCAGGCCTGGTCGGGGAGATGACACGGGTGCCAGAGCTCAGGAGCAGGGATGGTGGGAGGGGAGGAACGGGGTCGTGGCGAGGCTGTCTCCGCCGCAGGGCCTGGGCTGCCCCTGAGCGCCAAGAGCTTCCAGGAACAAAATCCAAGGGTTGCCAGGCAGTGGAAAAATTTGGGTTCCTGGAGGAGCTAAGAATAGAGTGGCAGCCCCTGCTCCCCGATCCGGAATCCCGGCCTGCCATCTGCCCGCCCACCCGGGGAAGACAGGCTTGCTCTGCACCCACCCCGCTGGCCCGGGGCCTAGAGGCACCCAGTGCTGTGAGCACGCTGGCAGGGCCATCCGAAGCTGCCTCCCACCCCGGCAGCCCCCCACTCCCACCCCCGTCCCCTGAGTCCCTCTGCCAACGCTGGCAGGGATCCAGAGACAGGAGGCAACACCCCCTTCTCAAGGGGCCATCCTCTGGCCGGGAGGCGGCTTCCCCATCCCACCAGGCTGCCCACAGCGAGGTAGGCCTGTGCCCAGGACACAGCTCCGTGCCTGGTGCCAGCCTCAGAGGCTCACCCCATGACTCAGTTTCTCCATCTGCACAGCAGGGCCGGGGTAGCTGGTCTCTGAAGTCTGGGGGCCCTGTCTCTCCCCGCCTCGGCCACACATACACATACTCAGCTTGACAGACAACCGCCAGGCAGGGCAGCGCCCTCTGGCTTCCCAGAAGCCCTCGCCACTGCCCAGGCATGTGGGCGCCCAGGCATGTGAGCGCCCAGGCATGTGAGTGCCCAGGCATGTGAGTGACATATGGAGGTGCCCGCATCGCCGCGCCTGCCCCATGTCCCAGGAGGCGGCTAAGAGGCCCTGGGGCCAGTGTCCTGTCCTGGCTCCTCCAGGCCCAGCCTCTGTCTGGCTCCGGGGCACTGGGCCCCGCCTCAGGGCAGCCAGGCCAGCGGGTGACCCAGCACAGCCCGGAGGAAGGCCCTGCCTTCAGGATCCCCCGCTGAAGGGGAGGCACAAACCCACGTTATCCGTAGAAAAAGGTGAACCATCCCACTCGGGTCAGCCTCACAGCATCCACATAGTCCCCGCCCCCCCCCCCCCGAGGTTCCAGGGTGCAGGGGCGGGGTGCCTGCCTAGCGGGCAAGTGGGGGCACTGCAGCGCCGCGGGGTGCTGGGAGCCCCGAGGGCCCGGATGGCCCTGCTCCGCCTGCTTCACCCGGGGTGCTGGCGCCCAAAGCTCGTGAACGTGAATTCCTGTGCAGGCCCCGCCCGCAGCCGGGGAGCGCTGAGAACAGCCGCATTCCTGAGCTGGGCCCCGCCCCGCCCGCGGGAGGCCACGCCCCTGGGCCCCGCCCCTAGCAGGCTGCCACGCCCCCGGGAGGCCACGCCCCGCCGCTGGGGGAGCGCCGAGAACAGCCGCATTCCTGAGCTGGGCCCCGCCCCGCCCGCGGGAGGCCCCGCCCCTGGGCCCCGCCCCTAGCAGGCTGCCACGCCCCGCCTCGTGAGAGGGAGCCGGGAAAGTCCCTGAGGCCGCGGTCTGGGCGCCAGGCCGAGCTGGGAGCGGACACAGCCCGCAGGCAGGGCCGGGCCGGGCCGGGGAAGCGGGTGGAGGCCCAGCGTCCACAGACCCAGCGCAGCCCTGAGCACCTCGCCCACCCGTCCAGTTGCTCCACCGAACACCCTGCTGTCACCCTCGGGGACGCTCGCTGTCAGTCTGCAGAGGGAGAGCTGAGTGGTCCCTTCCAGGGGCCTGCCCGGGAGCCGGGATTGAGCCCTCCTCCCAGGAGCTGCCTCCAGGGCCGGGCGTGGTCAGGAAGGGCGTTGCCCAGCCCTGCCCCCTGAGCAGCACAAGCAGTGCCTTAGCGTGCGAGGCCTGGCCTGGGCCAGCTCAGCTCCCGGCCCCCCACCCACCACCCGGAGGCCTGGCCTGGGCTGGTTCAGCTCTGCCCACTCAGCCCTACCCCCTGCCACCCAGATCCCCAGCTGCTGCGGCCAGGAGTCGGCCTCCAGGGCAGGCAGGAGAGGGAGGGCGCTCTGTAGTATTATTGCCTGTATGTATGTTAATTGTTACTATGTACACACAATAACATGCATGTAATATATGTACACGTTACATTATACAGGTGGATAGGTTAAAATACAGAAACAAAAGGGGTGCCCTGAGGGGGCGGGGGTGTCCTGTGTGGCAGTTTGGGGAGCACATTTGGCTGTCCCTGGTGGGTCCTGAGCTGGAAGAGGGGACAGAACTCTGGAAGCCCCGCCAGTGACCCATCAGCCAGGGCGTTGCCCCTGGAGACGGAGGCCTGACTTCCTGCAGGTCCCCTGGAGCACCGCTTCCCGGGCTGGTTCCTGCCGATGGAGGCCCGCTTCCTGGCGGCTGCGGGTCAGAGCGCTATCTGGACATGTGGCCTGGCCCCGCTCCATCTCCAGCTCAGTCTCTCGTCCTGGAAACCGGCGGAACGCTTCTAGCGGGGCGTGCTCCGCCCGGGACCTGCCGGTGGGCACCCCAGCGGGAGAAAGGCTGCCCCCACCCAGCCCGGGTCCCCATGAGCTCACTGACCTGCCTGGACACCCGTCCACACCAGACCCTGGCCAGCACTCCCCCTCGGTGTCCGATGGGCTTGGCCAGCGGTGCAATTGGCTCCAGGACGCAGAGCACAGGGGCAGATGGGATCGGTCACCTCCCCCCCCAGACCAAAGGGACCCCCTAAGTGGGGTCTTTCCAGGGAGGGAGCCATGGCCGGGGACAGGAGCACTGGGCAGGGCCGGTGGGCTGGTCAAGGCGACACTGGCCGGCTTTTCTGCATCCAGGGACCCCTGGGGCTTTCGGCTGGGCAGGTCACTCGGGAGGCCAGCAGTCTGGCCTGGGAGAGTTCTGTGTCCACTCAGCCTGTGCCAAGGAAGCAGGGACTCGGGCCAATGGGAGCCGGGAGGGGAGGGCCAGTTCTGGGTGCCTCTTTAAGCAGCAGCACCCCAGGGGGTGGCCGTGTGCACGCTGGGCCCGTCTGCCGTGCTCTCATGGTGCTGGGAGCGGCCCTTCCCTGCCATCGAGAGGCCGCCGGGAGGGCCGGGGACTGCAGCCATGAGGAGCCAGGAGAGCGTGCGGCCGGGCCCGGGATGGGTGGGCAGAGGCAGCCGGAAGGTCTTGCGCATCTGGGTGAGTGGATGGTGCGGGGCCAAGAGGGCTGGGCCTGGGAGGGGGTGTTATGAGCACCCCAACACCCCCTTTGCTGCCTGTCGGATGCTTCCAGCCGGCTGGTGCCAGAGGTGCAGGGGAGGAAACTGAGGCTCAGACGGGGCAGTGACGTGGCCAAAGTCTGTTGGCAAGGGCCAGGGCTGGGCGCCCACCCAGGTCAGCCAGGCCGCCTCCTGGGAGGACCCCGGGGGTCCCAAAGAGGAGTTGACAGGGGTGGGGGGGGCGAGGAGGCGGGGTGCCTCCTGGGAGGACCCACAGCAAACAGGAGGGAGCCGAGATGCCGGGCTCCCAGGCTGTGCTCTGTGTTCCCAGCAGGCCCCGGGGTGGGCTCCAGGAGCCCAAGGGAGGACACCCACCACCCTCACCCGGGAAGGGGGCAGCGGGGCCTCCTGGAGGGGCAGGCACCTGGGCTCTTGTCCCGGCTCAGCCCCAGTGCCTGCCTGACCTCGGACGGCCCCTGCTCTCCCCTCTGAGCTCCCCGGTGCAGCAGCTGTAGAGCCGGGGAGGCCTGGCCGCTCCAGGGCCCCCTGGGGTCCAGGCTCACTTGGTTCTGCCATGTCCAGCTCTGGGGCGGTGGGCACATGGCCTGGCTTCTCTGGGTGCCCCCTCGAACCCCCTCCTGTACGCTCCTGCCTCCGGGTGGTGGAGGCTGAGGGCTGGGCGTGAGGCCCAGTGGCGTCGCCATGCCGGCCCTCCGGCTCTCCCCAGCGGCTCCACACGGCCCTTCTCAGCCGCTAAATATAAGACCCGAGCCATACATGGCTGCAGCAGAGCGTGGGCCGCCCTGCCCTTTGGGGCCAGTTCCCAGGGGCTGTGGCTGAGGAGCGTCACTGCCGGGGAGGGGGCGGGGTGGTGGTGATGACACAGAGGCACGTGCTGGGGGGACGTTCTGGGCAGGGTCACACCTGTTGCAGCAGATACGGGTGGACCTCTGAGAGCCTAGGGGCACCCGGCCCTCCACCCGCCGCAGGTGACACACAGACCCACAGAACCAGGCCTGGTAGGGCTGCTCCCCGCAGGGCCCTGGTCTTGCCCAGAACCGGATGGGCGTTGGGCATGACCCCCCCGGCCCACTCATGCACGTCGGGCAGCCTGGAGTACCAGGGCCCGGAATCATCGTGCCCATCTGGCCCATCCAGTGGGCAGGGGCTGTGCCCTGGGGAGATAAGGGCGTCCCAGACACAACACGCTTGTTGCATTGTCACCACTGGTCTGGGGCGTTGCTGCCCGGGTGGCTGTGGGGTCGAGGTGCACACAGCAGGGCAGTGCTGCCGCCTCTGGTCAGGGGTGGGTGCGGGAGCGCCGGGCTCGGGGAGCCTGCACCAGGTGCTGCTGGGTGCACAGGAAGCGCTGGGAACACGTTTGGTGGGTGGGGGTACCAGGCGGAGGACCAAGCCCTGGCTGGGCCCTGGCTGACCCCCGCTACCCTCTGGCCCCGCAGTTCGGCAAGATGTCGGTGAAGGAGGGCGCGCAGCGGAAGTGGGCGGCGCTGAAGGAGAGGCTGGGGCCGCAGGACGCGGACCCCACGGAGGCCAACCTGGAGAACGCGGACCCCGAGCTCTGCATCCGGCTGCTGCAGATGCCCTCAGTGGTCAACTACTCGGGCCTGCGCAAGCGGCTGGAGGGCAGCGACGGCAGCTGGATGGTGCAGTTCCTGGAGCAGAGCGGCCTGGACCTGCTGCTCGAGGCCCTGGCGCGCCTGTCGGGCCGCGGCGTGGCCCGCATCTCGGACGCCCTGCTGCAGCTCACCTGCATCAGCTGCGTGCGCGCCGTCATGAACTCGCAGCAGGGCATGGAATACATCCTCAGCAACCAGGCCTACGTGCGCCAGCTCTCCCAGGGTGAGCCGCTGGGCGCCGGGGCGGGGCGGGCCGCGGACAGGAAGGCTGGCCTCAGCAACTCCGTGTGAGGCTCGCGGCCATGCCAGGCGGCGAGAGGGCTGGGCGCACAGGAGGAGACAGCAGGGCTGGGCAGGCAGGGAGGGCTTCCTGGAGGAGGCGCCAGTTTCCCATTTGCCCCCAAGTCTGAGACACCCCTCCCCCCAGCCAGGTCACCTTGGAGCCCTGGTCCCTCCACCAGCTGCACCTAGTTGCCCCCTCTGTTTTATGGCTTTGCCCCAATTCTCCACCCAGCCTGTTGCTGGTTCAGGCTCCACTCCCCGCCCTCCACCTCCCCCATCCACACTGTGGCAGCTGGAGTCACTGGGTCAAAAACAAAAGTGCACCCGAGTGATCCTACACTCCACCTGGCTCCAAGCCCCCGGCCCTAGCCTGCCGGAGCCCTTCAGGTCTGGCCGGCACTGCTGGCGGCATCGTCCACTCCCCCTGGCCCTGCCCCTGGCCCTGGGGGCTTCTGGAATGCGGGCCCCAGGCTCCACCTCCATACCAGGCTGCTCTCCGCTTTGTGTCTGCACAGTCCTGCTCCCCCTGTTAGTTCCAGCTCACTGTCACCTCCTCCAGTGAGTCTCAGGGGTAGTCCTCAGCCCTCGGGACACCCCCAGGTCACTGTGTGTCCCCGGGCCAGCAGGCCTGCTGCCCCACGGGGTGACCGAGTTCCTCCTGCTTGGGGCTCCGGGGGCGGCCATGACGGGCGCGTGCCTGTGTGGGTGAGCGAGAGAGCGGTCACCTCATTCCTGTCTGACCCCGTCCAGGCCTGGCCGTGCCCAGCTGTAGAGTCCTCTGTGACGTGCTCTCAGCCGGGCCAGGCGAGGGGCACCCCCAAACTTTCCGGCTCAGGGGATGAGGCGGGAGGCAGGCGGTAGAGTTCAGAGAAGACGCTGTGGGCGTTGGGTGGGTGCAGAGCGCCCCCTGGTGTTTGCCTGCTGCCCCGCGTTCCTGGCTGAAGTGTGGCAGTCCTGGGCAGAGGGGGAGGCCTGGCCTGGATGCCCGGGCCCCCCACTGAGACACCCCTTCCCCACCCCCTCCCCCGGCCCTGGGCAGCTCTGGACACGTCCAACGTGATGGTCAAGAAGCAGGTGTTTGAGCTGCTGGCCGCCCTGTGCATCTACTCGCCCGAGGGCCACGCCCTGGCCCTGGACGCCCTGGACCACTACAAGGTGAGCGGCGGCGGGGGGCGGGCCGGCGGGCGGGGGCAGGGCCTGGGCGCAGGCTAACCCCCCCCCCCCCCCCCCCCCCGCAGACGGTGTGCAGCCAGCAGTACCGCTTCAGCGTCGTCATGACGGAGCTGTCCGGCAGCGACAACCTGCCCTACGTGGCCACCCTGCTCAGCGTGGTCAACGCCATCATCCTGGGCCCCGAGGACCTGCGCACCCGCACCCAGCTGCGCGGCGAGTTCATCGGTCAGCCGCCTGCCTGCGTCCCCCACCCCGGGGGATGCCCAGCGCCCCGACACCCCCATCCCCCGGGCCCCCGAGGAAGGCTCCGTTCCGGGCCCTGGAAGCAGCCTGACCCCCCACCCCAGCCGCTCCCTTCGTGGACAGGGGCCTCGGGACCCCGGGCCTGAGCCCTGGAGGCTCTCGGTGGGAGGCAGGGTCCTGACCCCGGTCCAGTGGTGACAGGGACCCCTGGACGGTCACCACGAGTGTCCCCCGAGATGTCTCCCTCTGAGCTTCCTGTCCGGGTGCCCTGAGGGAATGGCAGGGACCCTCCCACTGCACGCTGGTCTCGGGGTGTCGGGAGGGGCCCAGGGGAAGGCATCAGAAGGTACAGTGACTGGAGGATGGGGCCGCTGACCCTCCGTCCCTCCCCAGGGCTGCAGCTGCTGGATGTCCTGACACGGCTTCGGTGAGTCCCCCCCCTGCTGCTCCTGCTCTGCCCCCCCCACCCCCAGCTCCCACGCAGTGCCTCCAGGGGGGCAGGGGGCCCAGGTCCCAGTGAGAGCCCAGCCGTTGCTTCCCTGCCCTGGGGGCTGGGCAGCTGCCCTAGAGCTAGGGCTGCCACATGCAGACAGGACACGAGTTGAACTGACTTTAGACAGACAGCGTTGCTGTAGTATAAGCACATCCCAGATGGTGCATCGGGCGTACTTACGCTCCAAACCATTCATTGTTTCTCTTTTATATAATTGATCTCAGAGAGGAAGGGAGAGGGAGAGAGAAACATCAGTGATGAGAGAGAATCGTGGATCGGCTGCCTCCTGCACACCCCCTACTGGGGATCAAGCCTGCAACCCAGGCCTGTGCCCTGACTGGGAATTGAACCGTGACCTCCTGGTTCATAGGTCAACGCTCAACCATTGAGCCAGGCTGGCTGGGCCTGAAATTCAGTTTTAATTGGGTACCTGGGAACCCACATAGCTGAGAACCTCCATCCGAGGCCTCACAGGACCTCTTTCGGGGTGTCCGCTTTGGCTGGGGGGACCCCAGGAGGAAGGGGTGAGGCTGGTGTGACTGATGCTGAACTGGGGTGCTGAGAGGGCCTGCCCTGCCGCTGAATGCACAGCTCATTGTCCAGACTAAGATGACTGGCAGGCCCTGGGCCCAATGAACAATCAAGCTCCCCTGCTCTGCTCCAAGTCCCACCCCCCACGGTGACCACCCCCCACCCCTCAGGTGAGGTCTGGTTGCTGACCTCCCAGCTCCCATCCATGAGCCTCAGCCCCGACCGTGCAGCCCAGCCCCACAGACCAGCGGGCCCCTGGCTGCTGTGGCCCTTGCCCTGCTCGGGGCGTGGGGGAGGCTGGTGGGGCTCCGGCTCAGCCGCCCGGCCCCCCATCGCAGGGACCTGGAGGACGCAGACGTGCTGATCCAGCTTGAGGCCTTCGAGGAGGCCAAGGCGGAGGACGAGGAGGAGCTGCTGCAGGCGTGCGGGGGCGTCGACATGAGCAGCCACCAGGAGGTCTTCAACTCCCTGTTCCACAAGGTGGGCCCTCCGTGACCGCAGCGGGGCCAGGCCTGGAGCCAACCCGGGGGGCAGCCAGGGCTCCGGGGTGACAGGACCAGGAGGCCAGGGGGCCGAGGCCAGGGCTGCCCGAGGAGGCTGGGCGGTCCCGGGCCCAGCAGGCTGCCACCAGGAGGGGCGAAGGACACCTCAGCACCAGGAGGCAGAGTTCTGGTCCAGCCCAGGCCTCACTGGCGGGTCACCGTCCTCCACGGCAGCCGGTGGTTCTCCGACCAGGGCCCGTGTCCCCAGCGGCCGCCGGAAACGTCTGGAGACTTTGGGTTGTCCCAAGTGGGCAGGGATGCTGCTACACGTCCCACAATGCACAGCGCAGCCCCACCCAGAGAGCTGGCCGGCCCTCCTGCCACGCGGGAACCCAGGCCCCTGGAGGCACAGATGGTCGTGGGGTGGACACTCAGGCAAACTGAGGCCGGGGGTGTGAGCCCGCCCCCGGGAGGCCGTGGCCGCTGACCGCACGCCTCTGCCCGCCAGGTGAGCCGCTCCCCGGCGTCCGCCCAGCTGCTGTCCGTGCTGCAGGGCCTCCTGCACCTGGACCCCGGGCTGCGCTCCAGCCAGCTGCTCTGGGAGGCGCTGGAGCGCCTGGTGGACCGGGCCGTGCTCCTGGCCAGCGACGGTGAGCGGCTGCTTCCTGCCCGCCTCGGGGCACGCACGGGGGTCTGAGATCGTGGGGGTGCCCCTCCTGACCTGCCGGAGGGAAGGGCCACGCCTTTCCGTCGGCCTCCACCTGCCCCCTGACCCCAGCGGTCCCCACCGCAGCCCAGGAATGCACCCTGGACGAGATGGTCGAGCGGCTCGTGTCCGGCAAGAGGCGGCCCCGCCCGAGCTCCCTGGACAAGGCCCACAAGGGCGTCCAGGCCGACCTAGGCCGGAGCCGGAAGGGCAGCTCCCCCCAGAACACGGGCGCCCCGAAGGCGGGGGTGGAGGACCAGCTGCCCGCCGTGACCCTCGCTGGCCTGCGGGCCGTCAGCGTCCAGAGTTCCAGCAGCGAGCAGCCAGCGGCCCTGGAACAGCAGATGCCCACCCCGCCCCTGCCGGCACCCAGCTCCACCGCCCAGCCCCCTCCCCCTCCCCCCACCACCCCCACCCCCACCTCTCCCCGGTCCAGCAACCTCATTCCCCCCACCTCCCCCACCCCCACCCCTGCCAGGTCCAGCGACCTCATTCCCCCCTCCACCCCCGCCTCCCCTACCCCCACCCCTGCCAGGCCTGGGGACCTCGTTCCCCCCACCCCCTCCACCCCCACCTCTGCCTGGCCTGAGCGGGACCCTACCCCCCGCCCCTCCACCACCCCCGGGCATGGGGTGCCCGCCCCCGCCTCCGCCCCTGCCGGGCTTCGCTGCCCCCCCTGCCGTGGGCGGCGTGGAGGAGATCATTGTGGCCCACGTGGACCACAGCCTGGGCTCCGCCCGGGTCCCCAGCCACCGGCGGGTCAACCCCCCGACGCTGCGCATGAAGAAGCTAAACTGGCAGAAGCTGCCGTCCCACGTGGCACAAGGTGAGGACCGGCTCCCACCGGCGGCTTCCCTCCGGGCGGGCTGGGGCCGCTGGCAGCGTGGCAGCGGTACTTGTGGCACGTGTACTGTCCGGGCCCCTGGGCAGGGCAGTCTGTCCCTGCTCTGGGCTCAGCCCCGGGTGGTCCAGGGCGGGCGGGGGCAGGAGCCGGTCGGTCAGAGGTCCCCTGTGCGGACCCGCCTTCCCAGGCACCTTTGAAGCTGGTCTGATGCCACAGCCCTGCCCTGCTCAGGCCCCGGGTGCGCTGTCATCCTGGGGGCCAGGGTGCTGTGTGCTCAGAGGTCACGGCCAAGGTCAGCCGGAGGTCGGGCTGCCTGCTGCCTGGACAGGGCGAGGCCAGGGCGGAGCTGACGGGCCTCCCCCGCAGAGCACAGCTCCATGTGGGCCGCGCTGGGCAGCCTGGGCGCCGAGGCGGTGGAGCCCGACTTCTCCAGCATCGAGCAGCTCTTCTCCTTCCCCGTGGCCAAGCCCAAGGAGCCGGCGGCCGCCCCGGCCAGGAAGGAGCCCAAGGAGGTGGGCCGGGGCCTGGGATCGGGAGTGCCCCCTTCGGCCCCCCACCCCCGCCCTCGGGGACGCTGACGGGGGTGTTTCCCAGATCACCTTCCTGGACTCCAAGAAGAGCCTGAACCTCAACATCTTCCTGAAGCAGTTCAAGTGGTGAGCCGGGGTCAGCCCTCCTGGCGGCCTCACCTGGGGCTCGGCAGCGCCCTCTGCAGGCCGCCCTGGGCGGTGCACAGCCCGGCTCCGCCGACAGGGGGGTGATAGCCAGACTGTCCCGCTGGGTCCCGAGACCCCCACCCCGTCCAGGCTCCCGGGGGAGGAGACCCGGAAGCCCGCCCCGCCCCCTGCCCCCCCCACACACAGGAGCCCACGGGCCATGCGCCTGGTCCCGAGCGGCCGCCCCGGGGGAGGCGGGGGGCGCCCTGGCCCGGGCGTGGGCTGCTCAGCTCCGCCTCTGCTGTGTGACCCGGCGGGTGGCCACCTTCCCTGTGCCCCGACCTCACGGTGGGGGAGGAGCCCGGTGTGACCAGCAGAGGTGTCTGGGCCGAGGGCCCCCCCGCCTGCCTGGCAGGGTCTCTCTTCCACCTCCAACCCCGTCCTCTCGGCCCCCAGCTCCAACGAGGAGGTCACCGCCATGATCCGAGCCGGGGACACGGCCAGGTTTGACGTGGAGGTGCTCAAGCAGCTGCTCAAACTCCTGCCCGAGAAGCACGAGGTCAGGGGGCGGGGCTGCCGATAGGGGGCGGAGCTTCTGGGAGGGGCGGGGCTGCCGGAGCTGCTGGGAGGGGCGGGGCTGCCGATATGGGCGGGGCTTCCGGAGCTGCTGGGGGCGGGGCTTCTGGGATGGGAGGGGCTGCCGGGAGGGGCGGGCTTCTGTGGTGGGCGGGGCTTCCGGGAGGAGCAGGCCGGCCCCACTGGCAGCCGCACCCACGCGTGGGCCTCCCTCGCAGATTGAAAACCTGCGCTCCTTCTCGGAGGACCGCGCCAAGCTGGCCAGCGCCGACCAGTTCTACCTCCTGCTGCTGGGGATCCCCTGGTGAGCTGGGCCCAGCCTGCGGGGGTAGGGGGGCGTGCGGACCATCCCGGGTTCCCTGCCCACCTCACTCATGCACCCCCGGCCGTGGGGCCTCCCAGGGCACCTGAGGGGTCAGCAACGCGGGGGACGGGCGGTGGGCAGGGCCCCTGCGGCCTCCCTGAGAGACCCCAGCCATTCTAAGAGGGAGGATGCCCCCAGGGAGGCCATCGCGCCTCGGCACTGGGTGCTGGTCCGACCCGCCCCTTCCTGGGCCCCGCCCCGACCTGCTGAGGCCTGGCCGAGTGTGACCTGGAGCTGGGGCGGGCGCGGGACCCCCAGCTCTGTGCCCAGCGGACTGCGGGCCTCACCCCCACACTGCGGCCAGGGCCGGGGTGTGTCAGGCGGGGCCCTGACCGCTGCTCTGCCCCCAGCTACCAGCTGCGGGTGGAATGCATGCTGCTGTGCGAGGGCACGGCCGTGGTGCTGGACATGGTGCGGCCCAAGGCCCAGCTGATGCTCAGCGCCTGCGAGAGTGAGTGGCCCGGAGCCCTGGGGGCCGCACAGGTGGGGCCCATCCAGCCCCTGCACCCCAGCACCCAGACTCCCCGAGCACCTGTGGGTGCTGAGCTTCCTCGTGTCACAGACCGCCCCCTCCCTGGCTCTGAGGCAAACTGCATGTACATGCGGGCACGCACAGACACACGTGCAGACAGGTGTGTGCACGCAGACTTGCACACACACGGGCACACACCACCCCCTCTGAGTGAGGAGTCGCGGGCACCTGCCGCAGCCCTGGCCCCCCGGGGTGCGGCTCACTCCTGCTGGGGACGCAGCAGTGGACGCCCATGCCCATCTTGGAGACAGGGTCAGAAGGGACACCCTCTGGGAGCCCCCGGGATGGTTTGCTGAGAACCAGGGCAGCCACAGGTTCTGGAAGGTTCCGCTCCGCGTCCTCCCCGGCGGCTGTGGGCTGAGATGGGCAAGCACCAGGGGACCCGCCTCCCGAGCCCGCACCTCCCTGAGCCGCCCCCCACCCCCCAGGCCTGCTGTCCAGCCGCCAGCTGCCCGTCTTCTGCCAGCTGATCCTGAAGATTGGGAACTTCCTCAACTACGTGAGCGGCCACCCCTGCCCCCACCCCCACCCCCACCCTGCCCCACCCCGCCCTGCCCCACCGGGAGGCAGGGAGACTCACTCCGTCCTCCTCCCCCCCAGGGCAGCCACACGGGGAACGCCGACGGCTTCAAGATCAGCACGCTGCTGAAGCTCACGGAGACCAAGTCCCAGCAGAGCCGCGTGACGCTGCTGCACCACGTGCTGGAGGTGGGCACGGCCGGCAGGCTGCGCGTCCCGGCCTCGGGGGTCTGCACCCCTCGCTGCCCCAGCCCCGCTCGGGAACCTCCCACTCAGGCCCCTGCCTCCCCGCCCCCTCCTCCGGTCCCGAGGTCCAGGCCCAGGGGAAGGGTGGAGGCGTGGGCTCGGGCATCCCCAGGGCGGGGCGGCCACGGCCACCTCCCTGGACCCGGCTGTTGCAGGAGGTGGAGAGGAGCCACCCGGACCTTCTGCAGCTGCCCCGAGAGCTGGAGCAGCCCGCCCAGGCGGCAGGGTAGGTGTCTCCTGCCCGCCCAGCGCAAGCCCGGCCCGGCTCCCTCCCCACCAGTGAGGGCCGGACCAGGCCGGTCTCAGGCTGCGGCACCCCCAGGAACGGCTGCCCCCCACGCCTGTCCACCGTGACTTAGAGGGAAACTGAGGCCTGAAGAAGCAGGAGATGGCCGGCCATGGTCACACTGGAGGCTAGGCTAACCCCTGAGCAACCTGCATCCCTGCCACCACCCTGTCCAGACGGGGGCCAGGGAGAGGGGCACTTCGGGGGTCCCACCGCCCACAGGGGCAGCTCTGGGAGCAGCGGGCTGACCAGCTGCGCGTCCGCTGCTGCGGCAGGTCCTCTGGTCCTAGCACTGCAGGCCCAGCACCTGCTGAGGCAGGCGCCCCCCCACCCCCAAGCCCGCCCGCCCGGCCCGGAACTCCAACTGCTTCTGGCAGCCTCGGGTGCAGGGCCAGGGCCCCTCTGTCCAGAGAGGCTGGACATCAGCTGTCACCTGACCCTGCCCGGCCTTTCAGGATCAACCTTGAGATCATCCGCTCTGAGTCCAGCGGCAACCTGAAGAGGCTGCTGGAGATGGAGCGGAAGGTGGCGGCCTCCCAGGAGCCTGAAGTGCGGGAGCAGTACGCCCAGCGCCTGCAGGCAAGTGCTGCGGCCAGGGAGGGGCTTGGCGCTGAGTGTGGCCTCTGGGCGGCAGTCCTCCAGTCTGCTGTCTGCCCGCCTCAGTGGGTTAGGGAGAGGAGAGGCCGGGCGGGGCAGGTGAGGGTGGGGAGAGGCCGGGTGGGGGTCCCACAGCAGGTCAGGACCCCTCCTGAGCCCCAGGCCCAGCACCCAGAGCCCCGGTCCTGCACAGGGACCACTGTCTGCAGGCCTGGCCCTCATCCTCCCACAACCACGGGCCTGACTCAGGGGTCCTATCTGGGCCGTCGCCCTATGCCCGTGGGTCTCCTGCTGTGGGCCACCCGGGCCCTGACCGTTTGGTGCCCACGCCCCCAGGCCAGCATCGAGGCCTCCCAGGCGCTGGAGCAGGTGTTCGAGGCCGTGGAGCAGAAGAAGCTGGCGTTGGCCAACTACCTGTGCGAGGACGCCCAGCAGCTGAGCCTGGAGGATACGTTCAGCACCATGAAGACCTTCCGGGACCTCTTCCTCCGCGCCCTGAAGGTGGGCCCCGCCCCTGCAGCCTGGGGGCGTGGGGGGGCGGGAGGGCCTGTGTGGGGGTGGGGGATCACCGGCTCTGTGTCTGCCCCGCAGGAGAACAAGGACCGGCAGGAGCAGGCAGCCAAGGCCGAGAGGAGGAAGCGGCAGCTGGCGGAGGAGGAGGCGCGGAGGCCGCGGGACGAGGACGGGAAGCCTGGTGAGGCCGGGCGGCGACTGCGGGGCTGGGCCGGCCGGGTGGGCTCTGGCCCTGCGAGCCGTGCCTGAGGGTCCTGGCCTCTCAGTCAGGAAGGGAGGCAAGAAGCAGCAGGAGGAGGTGTGTGTCATCGATGCGCTGCTGGCGGACATCAGAAAGGGCTTCCAGCTGCGCAAGACGGCGCGCGGCCGTGGCGACGGGGACGGGGGCAGCCGGGGAGCAGCCGCAGGCCCCCCGCGGGACACCGCGCCTGGTGAGACCCTCGCCTCCCTCCTCCGCTTCCCTCCGGCCTTCCCTGCCTGTGCGATCCTTCGGGCCGCACCCCCTTCCTCCTCTGGGAAGCCCTCCCTGGCCTCCCGAGGGAGCCCTCCTCTCCCCTAGCCGCCCTGAGAGGGGACGGCCGTGAGGTGGGGCTGGAGGCCGCTTGCCTGACAACGGTCCCCCGTGTCTCTGCTGCTGTGACAGCCACCTGCCCAGCCCCGGGGTGGGCCCATGACAGCTGCCCTGTGGGAGCCAAGGCTTGGAGGCCACCAGGGAAGGCCCCCGGGGGTGGGGGGGGCCATTCGGGGGGAAGCTGAGCTGGAGGGGGAACCCCGCTCACACTGTTCCCGAGGAGGGTGCCACCAGATGGCTGGGAGCGCCCTGCCCTCCGCCTACACCTGCTCCATCCACAGTGGCCTCCAGCGGCCCCCCAGGAGGCCCCAGGGTTGGCACCAGCAGCCCGGCCTCTGGGCCTGGTCTCGACGTGGTCGACGCGGAGGCAGCCAGGCCGCCCCAGGACTGGGACCTCGCGGACGCCACAGCCCCCAGCTCGAAGCCCCCTGCGGACCCGTCGGAGGAGGCTGGCCCCTGGCCCCAGGAGAGGCGATCCTCCTGGTACGTGGACGCCAGCGATGTCCTGCCCACGGAGGACCCCCTGAGCTCCCAGCCGCCTGCAGCGGCCTGGCCCGTGGTGCTGGGGGACGCGCGGGCCCTGGAGCCCCTCCCGTTCTCCAGTGAGCAGTCCCCCGGGGCCCTGGGCTCGAGCGGGGATGCTGAGGATCCCACAGCCCTTGGGGGCGTCGGCTGGGCCGAAGCTGACAGCACAGGAGAGGGGCCGGCGGCCACAGCTGCCCTCGGCCGAGGAGCCGGCCCTCCCGCCGCAGCGGCCGGCGGGGACGAGGACCCAGAGGACACCGCCCCCGATTCCGCGCTGGACACGTCCCTGGACAGGTCCTTCTCCGAGGACTCGGTGGCCGACTCCTCGGGGTCCGGCACCCTCCCCAGGGCCCAGGGCCGGGCCTCGAAGGGGACGGGCAGGCGGAGGAAGAAGCACCGGACTCGGATTCAGGAAGGTAAGGGGGGCCTCCACCTCGTCCCCAGCAGGACCGGGAGGGCGGGTCCACGGGGCTCCGGGCTCCGGTGTGGGGTCCGCTGATCCATTCATGCCAGGACCTGGCCTCTCCCTGCAGCCGGAGGTCCCCCTGCCCCCGAGATGGGGGGCTCCCAGGCCCCCGAGCCCTGCAGGTGAGGGGTCAGCGGCGCCTCGGCCCCGGGAGGGGCAGGTGTGGGGCACCGCCTGCTCGCTGCACCCTAACCCACTCAGTCCAGGGAGGCTGCCCGGCGGGGGGCGGGGCGCAGCCACACCACAGCCCTGCGTCCACACCGCAGCCCTGCGTCCACACCGCAGCTCGGCGCCCACACAGCCCCGGCTCCGCTCAGGGCCTCGGGAGGGACCAGCGGTTGAGTGTGTTTCTTTTATTTGAAAGCAGAGGTTGCCCCCGACTCTGACGATAGCAAACCCAAAAGGTTCTGTGTGATCCAGTAAGGTAGGTCCGCGCCTGGCCTCGCACTAACGCTGGTGGCAGTGGTGGTGGCGCTGGTGGCAGTGGTGGCGGCGGGGACGGCCCTGTCCGGCCGCCCAGACACTAACTAACCCGCTTCAGCCCTCGGCAGCAGCCCCCCCCGCCCCCCCTACCCCCGCCTGGGCCGCTTGAGTGGACGTCACCCCACCATCCCCAGGAGGGCAGGAGCCATGCTGCGAGGCTGGTGTCCCTCTGCTGCGGCTGGTGCGGCCTCAGAGCTGCCTGCTGGGCAAACAGCCTGAGAGGCGGGTGGACGGGGCTAACTGGGTGCCTCCGGGAGCAAGGCTCCTGGGCCTGGGGGGTAGGGGCCTCCTGGGCCTGGCACACAGGCTGAGGTTGCCCCGGGCCTAACCTACCTAATCCTGGGCTTTACTGACCCCCGTGTCCCCCAGGGTGCCACCTTTACTCTGGGTCCGTCCGCAGGGCACACCCAGCCCCTTCGGCCCTGGGGCTGGCCACCCCTGTCCACAGGGAGGCTGTGAGGGACAGGACAGCCCCGGGGACAGGCTGCCAGGCACCTGGGGGAGGTCTGCAGCACCCCTCCTGGAGGCCGGTTGTCGGCTGAGAGCGGGGGGCCTCCCTAGACCCCCCACCCCCTCCCCCTCTGGACAGTCAGGGGCTTTGCCGTGGCCCCAGAGGCTCCCAGGTGCAGCCACACCGACGGGCAGGTCCCTGCCGCGTCCTGGCCTTGCCAGGTGGGGACACCCAGTGCAGGGGACCCCGCCCCTGCCCCACCTGAGCTCAGGGCCGTCTATTCCCCACGCGCCTCCAGCCGAGGGGCCCGGGCACAGAGGTGAGGCCCCGCGGGCGCCAGGGAGTGGGAGCAGGGGCGAGGCGAGCGCACCTCTGCCCGACTTGGCTCTGGGGCCACACACCTCGTGCCTGGCAGCAGCGCCTGGCCTGCCCCTTAGGGGTCAGGGGCAGCCTTGTGGCCCCCGGCTACGGGCTCTGGGCGTGGGGACAGGGGGTCTGGGCTGGCAGCCACGGGTGGCCACTGCCCAGCGAAAGGTCAGTGCGCCCCAGCGGGCCTGTGCCTCCCAGCACTGCTGGCCAGGCGTGCCCCCAGGCTGCGGGTGCGAGGGTTAGGGGAGCCTCCCGCCTACCACCCCATGGCCGAGGGAGGAGGAAGGAACCCTGCTTTTTATTGATGTCAGAGAGGAAGGGAGAGGGAGAGAGAAAGAAACATCCATGGTGAGAGAGACGCATTGATTGGCTGCTCCTGCACGCCCCCCAGCGGGTTGAGCCTGCAAACCATGACCTCCTGGCTCATAGGTCAACGCTCAACCACTGAGCCCCCGCGGCCAGAATCCCTTTTTATTTGGAAAAACTTCAACCCGACAGGAAATTCGCAAGGAGATGAAAATGAGCAGCCCCTGCCTTTCACCTGGAACGGCCCAAACCTGCAAAATAGAGCAAACTGTTCCTTTTGGTGCCCCCCCCCACCCCCCCACACACACACTTTATTGAACGACCTCACAGCTACTTGTAGGCATCACGGAGCTGCCCCAGTGTGTCTCCCAAGCACAAGGCCATGTCCCTGGACCAGAGAGAGCCACGGGCAGTGATGGGCAGGGGCCAGGTGGGCAGGTGGGTGGGGGGCAGGTGCCAGGGGCCCTCAGGCCCCAGCTGCGGAAGAGGGGAAGGAGGCATCCGGCCGGGGCCGGGGTGCCTGAGGGAGCCCGGGGAGGAGGTGGCCATGGACCGATGGGCGTGGACGGGGCAGCCTGGGTCTAGGCAGGGAGAGTAGAACACAGGACCCCACGCCCTCAGGAGATGCAGCCTAGACAGGGGGGTGGGCGCTGCCAGAGGAAGGGCCGGGCCCTGGGACACAGCTCAGCCCCCGGGGCAGTGGCGACAGAAAGCTGGGGCCTGGGACCTAGCTGCGGGCGCCCTGGCACTGCCCCAGCAAGGCGGCTCCTCACCGTTCCTGTCCCTCCCACAGGCCTCAGGCCCAAGCCCAGAGCCAAGTGACGCCCCGAGGACCGGCCTCCACGCAGCAGGGCCTGGGCGTGCTGCTGAGCCAGGAGCCGGGAGCACCCAGGGCCGGGCTGGGACTGGGCCCTGGGACAACAGAGCTCGTGCCTTACCCAGCCAGGGGTCTCGGGGGCACGGTGGCCGCCTGGCACCCCTGGACTGCCCGCCTGGCACCTTGGACTGCCCGCCTGGCACCCCTGGACTGCCTGCCTGGTAGCTCTGGACTGCCCGCCTGGCACCCCTGGACTGCCCGCCTGGCACCTTGGACTGCCTGCCTGGCACCCCTGGACTGCCCGCCTGGCACCTTGGACTGCCCGCCTGGCACCTTGGACTGTCCGCCTGGCACCCCTGGACTGCCCGCCTGGTACCCTGGACTGCCCGCCTGGCACCTTGGACTGCCCGCCTGACACCCCTGGACTGTCCGCCTGGCACCCTGGACTGCCTGCACGCCTGGTCTTTGTGGTCCGGCTCTCACGCTGGTGCCGCCCCCGCATGCACCTGGCACCCACCCGAGGAGGGGTCCTGGCGCGTCCCCAGGCACCTCAGCTTGCACCTACTTTCCAGTGACCTGGCACCCGGATTCCTCTGGGGACGGCCCGGTACAGACCCCCAAACCACGGGAGCCAGGCAGGCTGGAGCCCCGGTGCCCGTTCTTGCTCCCCAGCCCGGCCCTGTGTGCTCGGCTGGCTGGAACAGGGATTCTAACAAATGGGACTGGGCGTTTCTTTCATTGTGCGGTGCCTCGGTGGGGGGGGTGAGAGGGCGCTGGGGCCCCGGAGGACCAGGCTGGCGGGCACTGCTTGGGGCAGGACAGGGCCCCTTGCTCAGCAGAGGGGTGGGGGGCCCCATGGAGTGTCCCCCCCCCCGTGTGTCTAGGCCTGAGGGTGGGAGGTGCCTGCCCACCCCGCAGCCCGGACCTGGCATCTTGTCCACAGAACCACCCACCCTCTGCTCCTGGGCCCGCTTCCCCTCTGGACAGAGGAGGCCGGGGGGACCGGGAGGATGCAGCTGGGGGTTGGGGGCCGCTGCCTGTGCTGACGGCTCTGCCCGTTGAGGCTGGAAGCGCAGGGATGTGGACCAGGCCATCCCAGAGCCGGTGGGGCGGGGCGGGGGCGGGGGCGGGGCGTGCGGTGCTCAGAAGCTGCGGGTGAACGTGGTGGGGCCTGGCCCCGGTGGGTGGGTGATGGGCTGACGGACAGACAGGCGGAGGGAGGGAGGGCCGGGCCAGCAGGTGGGTGGGGAGGAGGGACAGAGGGTTGGGCCGGAGCCGCTCGGTGCCTTGGACAGGGCAGGGCAGATGGCACACGGCCCACATCAGCCCTCTGGGGCACAATTCACACCCATAAGCTCCCCATCGTGACCTCTGCAGGAGTACAAGGTCGTGAAATTCTAACCGTGGTCCAGGCTTAGATATTCCCATCAGCCCCAGCGGGTTGGCTCCGCCGACAGAGCATCAGCCCGCAGCCTGAAGGCTCTGGGTTCGACTCTGGCAGAGCGTGTGCCTGGGTTGTGGGCTCGATGCCCGGCCCTAGGGGGGGCGTGTGGGGGGCAACCGACCGATGTTTCTCTCTGTCTCTCTCCCGCCCTCCCTCTCCCCCTAAAAGCCAATGGGAAAATACCCTCAGGTGAGGAGTGACCAAAAAAATGGAAAGGTACTTCCACCCTCCGCAAGCAGCCATTCCCCGCGCCCCAGCCCTCCTCCCCCGCACCCTCCCCCCCGCCCCCGCCCTGTCTGTCCATCTGCTTTCTGGACGCTTCCGTGGCCTTCGCCACCCTTCATTCTGCGTGTTTTCCAAGCTGCCCTGCTGGAGGGTCCCTCTGGTGCCGCTGCCTGGCCTCCTGCGAGGTTGGGGCGGGGATGGGGGGGAAGGGGGGGGCGGGCGGCCGCTCAGTGAGGCTCTGGGAGAGGCTGTGGCCCTGCTCGCTGGCCTTCGCGGCTCCTGTGGTCGGTTCTCGGGGATTCAGGCAGGGGGTCAGAGGCTACGTTTATGTTTAACTATTTTTATTGATTTCAGAGAAGAAGGGAGAGGGAGAGAGATCAAAACATCAATGAAGAGAGAGAATCATGGATGGGCTGCCTCTTGCACGCCCCCCACTGGGGATTGAGCCCACAACCCGGGCCTGTGCCCTGACAGGGAGTCGAACCCGGGACCCTTCCGTCCGCAGGCCAACGCTCTATCCACTGAGCCACACTGGCCAGGGCTGCCAAAGCGGCCGCACCCTTCATTCCCGCACATGTTCCAGGTTCCAGGTGCAGGCGGGTGCGGGCTCTGTGTCCTGGTCGCCAGAGGCGATGCCCCACGTGAGCTGTGGCCCCCCAGTGGCCGGGCCCACTTGCTGCCTGACAGCAGCTGGGGATCACAAAGCCATGGGGGGGGGGGTCACACAGCCATGGGGGGGGTCACACAGCCAAGCCAAGGGTCACACAGCAGGCCCCAAGTGCCTCGCACCCCCCCCCCAAGCCGCTGCAGGGCCATGGGGGGGGGGGGGGCAGGGAGGGTCTAATTCAGGCTGAGCGGGTGACGGCCCAGCTGCTGGCGCCAGGGCTGTTTACAGCCCAGGCTCCCGCCGCTATTTATAGACACAGCCTGGGGCCCTGCTGAGCAGTCAAACCCGCTGTCCCCTGGTCCCCGCCTGGGTCTCCCTCAGGGACCGCTCAGCGCCAGCGCCCCCCCACCCCCGGGGGTGGGCAGAGGGAAGCGCCCCTCAGCTGCCACGACCCCAGCAGATCCCTTTGCACGGCCCTGGGCGGGATGCAAAGCCCAGCTTCTTTCCTCCGGAAACAAGCAAACAGAACCCTCCGGAACTCGGGGTCCCCCCTGCTAAACCCAGCCCCTTCCTCGTCCACACAGCCAGCTATTGCGCCCAAATTCCCTCCCCCCTGAGCCCCGAGCCCCGGCACCGCCCCCTGGGCCTCCTCCTCACCCGCTTGGCCTCTGGTGGCGGTCAGAGCCTCACGCGCCCCCTCCGGCCCTGCTGCTGCCCCAGGGCTGGTCCCGGGACCCCACGCTGCCGAAGTGTGGACATGATGCCCGCACCCGCACAGTGTGGTGTTTATCCCCGACGGTGCTGAGGGACGGGAACTGTTGGTGTCCCCATGCCCTCAGAGGGCTGGGCCCCGAGGGGCCAGGGGCCGGGTGACCAGCCCAGGGTCAGAGCCCGCTCCCACCTGGAGGAGGAGGGAGGGGAGGAGAGGCGCGGGGCAGCGCGGCCCTGGGGCTGACCCTTACGCTCCATGATGGCCGGGGTGACAAGCCCTGTCCACTCCCTTCTTCCTGGGAGTGCCGTCCCCCGTCCAGCCTGGGAGCACCAGGAGGCCCCCCCCCGCCCCCGGCTCTCCGAGCCCTGGCCAGGGTGAGTGCACGGGCTCTGGGCCCCTCTGCAGCGCAGACCCCAGGGAGGGGAGAGGGGCCCAGGGTGTCCCCGGGACCCATCGCTGGCCCCTTCTCCAGACCCAAGCAAGAGTCCATTTGGGGCCCTGATCGGTTTGGCTCAGTGGATAGAGCGTCGGCCTGGGGACTGAAGGGTCCCGGGTTAGATTCCAGTCAAGGGCATGTACCTTGGTTGCGGGCACATCCCCAGTAGGGGGTGTGCAGGAGGCAGCTGATCGATGTTTCTCTCTCATCAATGTTTCTGACTCTCTATCCCTCTCCCTTCCTCTCTGTAAAAAATCAATAAAATATATATTTTTTTAAAAAAGAGTCCATTTGGGGCCCGGCCGTCGTGGCTCCGTGGTTGAGCGACGACCTATGAACCAGGAGGTCACGTTCGATTCCCGGCCAGGACACAGGCCGGGGTTGTGGGCTCGATCCCCAGTGCGGGCTGTGCAGGAGGCAGCCGATCCACCATTCTCTCATCGTTGATGTTTCTCCCTCCCTCCCTTCCTCTCTGAAATCAGTAAAAACATATTTTTTAAAGAGTCCCTTGGGGAGTGGGGGTGGGGGTCGGGGGTGGCCCAGGCAGGGCACCCAGCTCGGAACTCATCCGACGGTCCACAGCCTGTGCGGGCACCCAGTCCCTCCACAGGCCGGAGCGGGAAGGAGGTCTGGCCTGGGGCACCGGACTCCCTGGCCCTGCGCATCCCGGCTGCCCCCCAGCACCCCTGCCCCGCCAGGTTGCCCTGCGAGCACCGGTCGGAGGACCGAGGGCAGCCCGCTCTCTCCCGGATGGAGCCCACGAGTGATACCCACCCACAGTGTGTCCTGCGCTGGACGCCTGGCCCGCGCGTGGAGGGGACGCTGTCCTCTCCGCGGCCACCAGAGGGCGCGCGCCAGTCCAGGGGCCGGGCTCGCCGCGGGCGGCCAGGTGCGCGCCCCCAGCCCGGGGAGGCGGACCCGCCAGGTGGGGCGCAGGGACCAGGCTCTCCGTCTGCAGCCGCACCCACCCCGCGCTGGAGGGGACACCGCCCGCCGCTTCTGGGTCCCCCCGGTCCCGCTCCGTGGGGTGGGCTCGCAGCGCCCAGGCCTGCCCGGGGCCGGGGGAGCGGACGCCCTCGTGACGTTCCCGGGGCGCCGGGCCGGGCCCGCGGGAGGGACCCCGCCGCGCGCCGCCTATCCGTGCGCGCCGTCCGTCCGTGCGCCCCGAGGTGCCCGCGGGCCAACCCGACTCCTGGCGGCGGCGGGGGCGGGACCGGGGCCGGAGGTCACGAGCGTCACGGGGCCCGCCCCCCGCCCGGGGCGGCGCCTTTTAACGGCGGGCGGGCGGCCCTCGGGCGGGCGGGCTCTCGGGCAGCCCAGCGCCAGCGCCGGACGCGCCCCGCCAGCGGCATGGCTGCGACCCGCGCCTCCAACGACCGGCCCCCGGGCGCCGGCGGCGTGAAGCGGGGGCGGCTGCAGCAGGAGGCGGCGGCGAGCGGCTCCCGCGTGACGGTGGTGCTGGGCGCGCAGTGGGGGGACGAGGGCAAAGGCAAGGTGGTGGACCTGCTGGCCACGGACGCCGACATCATCAGCCGCTGCCAGGTGCGCGGGCCTCCCCCTCCGCCCCCGCGGGCCCCCCCACGACCCAGACTCCGGGCCGGGGGACGGAGCCCTTCCCCCCAGCGCCACCCCCACCCGCCCACACGCGCACTCGGCACCCTCGCAGGTGCTCACGCTCCCCTTCCTGCGCGGACACCCCTTCCCCAGGGACCCCGCCTTCCCACCAGCCCCACCCCCACCCCGGCGGACGGGGCAGAGCTATAAATACAAGCCCTGCTGAGTTGGGGACACCGGATCCTCAGGGGGTGGGGTGTGCCCTAGGCATGCCGCTAGCCCTCCAGGGGGGGCGGAGGCGGGACCCCAGCTCCTGGGTGGTTTGAGGACAACTGGAGACACCCCATTCCTCATTCCGTCTGGGTCTGGGATTGGGCTGGCTGACCCCATACAGGGGTCATGACACGGAGGGGGCTGGGTGCTGGGAAGCCCAGGGGAGAAGCCAGCAAGGAGGGGGTGACCTGGGCCAAGAGGAGGGGGGCACGCCGGGGGGAGGCCCTGAGGAAGGCAGGGCACGGAGGGGAGGGTCTGGCCGGACAGAGGGAGTGGGAGGAGCCACGGACGGCTGGCCTGGGTGGCCAGCGGCTGGCAGTGCCACCGGGAGGCCAGAGCAGGCTTCGTCCCCTGAGCGCCCGGGCGGGTGCTACTGGGTGACGGACGCGGGGCACTCCCTAGGGCACTGCCCGCCGGCCGCGTGCCTGCCTCCTGCTGAGGCTGGCAGGTCAGGGCGCAGGGGGGCCACAC